TCTGCCATGGAGGCAGACGGAGGGTGGGAAAGGGGGGTTATACCAGGGATAGTGGTGGTGAGGAATGTGCACCAGTGGAGAGATGGGTGTTTGATCATTGTGTGATTGTAACCAAACATGAAAGTTTATAACTATCTCATGGTGATTTAATAAAATTAAAAAAAAAAAGAATAAGAACAGGCAAAGAAAACCAAGAAGAACCTGAACACATATAGCAACTTCTGCAATTTATATTTATCTGGCTACTTTCCCAAAACTCACCTGCCTAAGAGGTCTATAATGGAGGCATCTAGCTCTACTTTTTCATCTTCTTTACACCAGTTTTTTTTTTTTGCTTTTAGGGTCACACCGGCAATGCACAGGGGTTACTCCTGGCTCTGTGCTCAGGAATTACCTCTGGCAGTGTTCAGGGGACCATATGGGATGCTGGGAATTGAATCGGCCACGTGCAAGGCAAACGACCTACCCGCTGTGCTATTGCTCCAGCCCCTACACCAGTTCTTATAAACTTTGAAACACATCAGAATCATTATCTTTCATATATGGAATACAAAGGGACTAACACAAGGTCAAAAAAAGTGAAATTGAGAATTATTTTACAGAACTGAGCTTACCGAGGCAGGGGTCTCTGGACAATGGTGAAGGGATGAAACACTCTGGCAATGGGTGTGATATTGAACATTGTATATAAGAAACCCTCTCGTGAACAGAACTGTAAATCACTTCCTTCAAATATGAATAAATAGAATAGGTTCTGAGAATTGCATTTCTTTTTCCTAGGGGGAGTATGGGCACAACTGTTCTCAGTGCTATGCTCAGGGATCATTCCTGATGTGATCAGAGGACTTTAAGGGGTGCTTGGGACTTAACCCAGCTCCATGTAAGGTAAACATCCTACCCACTTTACTATCTTTCCAGCCTGGATTTGTAGTTCTTCTAAGTTCTAGGCAATGTTAATGCTGTTACTCCTAGGATGACATTTTGACAACCAAACGCTTAATATATTCTTTTCCCACTATCTAAATAACAGTTACCTCAGAGTACCTCTCATTCATCCTAGTCTTAATATGCACTGACATGAAATGTAAAAACTATGAACAAACAAAAGAACTTGTCAAAATAAATGGCACTGATAACAGTATACATATAAAGTCTTTATAAAGTCAGCTGCTACCTCAAAGAGTTTAATGAGGCAGTTTATTAAGATGGCAAATGTAATAACCTTTGATAGATTATTGCTTGATTTTTGACAGGTAATTCAGTAAGCGGTTAAAAATAAGTAGCATTGTGTAATGAAACTATCCTTTCCATCTGCTTTTTGATGCAGATTCAATATGTAAAGACAAAACAATGATACAATTGATGTTAAATTGTGGCAATTTCTACTTTTAAACAGCTTTACTCAAGGAAATGTAAACTGAGAAAAGCCCTTTATCATTTTATTGAGATATATTTTGAATAAATTCTTACCATTTGTGTATTGTTTTAACTAATTCTATGTCAGTAAACTAAAAGGATGATTCCATTCATATTAAACCTTTGTGTGTTTATGTTCACAAGAAAAAATAATTCACATTGTAGGTAAAATATTCTTGTAGATCAATATGCTTGCTAGTTTTGCCAGTGGAATTTAATCTTATGTATATATTGTACATGTTTGCATAAAGTACATAATGTTTAGAAAAAATTTCTTTGGCAGAGAGATGGCTCAAAACAATATTCACATGGCTTGCATGAGTAAATCCTAGGAAAGACCCTTGGAGGCACGTGGTTCTCTGAACAATGCTGGGCATGAGCCCTGAGTACAGAGCTGGAGTAGCACCGCAACACTGCCAGGTGTGGTCCCAATCCCCCACCCCAACTTTTTAGGGGAAATCATCTTTTTAATTCCAAAGAAAACATAAAAAAGTATAAAATGTTCCTTTAAGGAGTATATTTGTTCAAGATTATTTTTTAGTTAACAACAAATCACTATGGTATTTAGATTATACTGAATATATTTGAGAATGATGCTACAAGTTTGTTTTATGAAAGCAATGTTTAAAATATGCCAAAATAATACTCTTTAAAATTGTATAACTTAATAATAAAAATTTTTGTTGACAACTTAAAACTTAATTGATGTTTAGTTTGAATTTTTAATTTTAAAGACAAAAAAAAAAATCACCTAAGACATGTTGCCTTAACGGAGTAAATTTTGCATCTTCGGCAGGCATTATTTGATGGACTCAGACAGAACTTGGAATTAAATTCCAATTAAAACACAGGCTTTGCTTATTCTATAAATACCGCAACAAAAGTCATTCTTGTTCTTGTTTGGCATTTGCTTTTTATTACCTAACTGGGATCCAAACATACAGAAATGAGTAATAATGGGAAAAGATTATACAATCTTGAATGACTCATTCAAAGATCTTTATAAAAATGATCAAAGACAGCAGAATATGAGAACTGGTGTAGAACTGAGTTTACTACGATGCGGTAGGAGACAGCCACACAAGATTGGTGAGCTGGTGGAAGGCGAGAAACATCCTGGGTGTGGTGTTGGAAAAATGAGCGCACAAAATTCCATCATTAGGAGTATTGTAAATCACGGTTCTTCAAATAATGTGTGTGTACATCCTTTATAAATTTTCTCTCTAGATTTTTTTTCAAATAAAAAAATCATTTGGGTAAATTCTTATCTGGTGACTAAATGGGAACTGTAACAGAGTAGAATGAATGAATGAATAAATAAATAAATAAGGATGCTCAAATAGTATAAAGCATCACATTGGCCTTTTTGGTTTCAAAAGAAATGTCACTGCATACATATTTTGAGGGGATTTCAAAAGAAACAATAAAAAATAATTAAAAAATTATCTTTGATTCTTAACTGCTTGCCTTTTTTTACCTAAAAAAAAAAAAAGGATTCTCTGAAGCCAAACTGATATTACAGTGGGTAAGGCGTATGCTTTGCATGTACCCGGGCATCCCGTATGGTCCCCCGTGCACTGCCAGTAGTAATTCCTGAGTGCAGAGCCAGGAGTAACCCTGAGCATTACTGGGTGTGGCCCAAAACAAACAAATAAAATGTATTATCCTGTAGATTTTTTAGGGGGTGCACAAAATCAGCTCTGAAAATTTTTAGTAGTGCATTACGTACTTTCTTCACATTTCCAAACTCCAACTTTATTTTACACAGTATAACGTCTAGAAAATAGCTCAGAGTTGATCTAGTTTCTACTCTCTGTAGTGTCCTGAACATTCTCTTAAGATTAACAAATTTAATGTGTTAACATATTTAATGTGTTATTTTTATCACATTAAAGTAATGCATCCCTCTCTAAAAAAATTTGCTAATTTTTTCCCTTTTCCTTAGGAGATCACCTCTTCTTAAAGAGTCCTTAAGGTGAGAAATAATCTGGTAAGCAAGGCAGCCCTTAGAAATGGATATAAAACTGGCTTGAGAAGAGCAAATTCCAATTTCTTCCTCTCTCCCAGTATTCTGGATAATAACACATGCCAGAGACTCCATTATTTGCATCTGGGTCAATAAAAGCATACTTGACAAATTTATAATTATATAAAAAATAGTGCATAGACACAAGTTGATGCAAATTCTTGAATATTCCCTTTAGTAAATTTTGGATAAGATTTTGCATAAAAAAATGCTTCAAACTACACATTAAAGAAGATATTCAGTAAGAAAAAAATCTTTTTTAGTGCATCTATTCATGCCAACTTCCATGTCTTTTTAATAGTGCATATAAGAAACCTCAAAATATTTTTTTGCTTGGTTCTGGGGCCACCCCCAGCAAAATTCTCAAGAGTTACTCCTGGCTTTACACTCAGGAATCATTTTTAGCAGTGCTCAGGGAACGAAATGGGGTGCTAGGGATCAAACCTAGGTTGCCATAAGCAAGTTACGAGCCTTATCACTGTACTATCTTTTCAGATCTTCAAAATACTCAAAAGTCATCTCTGTCCTTCTGTACAACTGCAAAAACAGATAACAGAGTTGTTCTTCCAAATTATTAATAAAGATATTAAATAGAGTATTCTGTAAAATTATTGCCATGGATACGTACAATATAAAACCTTAATGTGAGGAGAAATCTGTTTAAATCATTCATTGCTTATGCACCAGAACTTAGTACAGTTCCTGCTATATAGCAGGTTCTAAATTATAGAATAAATTAAAAGTGAAGAAATGGATGGATGGATGGATGGACACACGTTATTTTTGAAATCTAATAGCTACTGGATATTGCTACAGTTATTACTCATACATGATCTGCTAATTAGTAAATTATCCTTCTAAATGTATACCAATTGGGAACATAGTATTTTATTTATTTATTTATTTTAGAATACCATGCAAACTAAAAGGTAAAGGTAAAGGCCCTCCCGTTGATCTTCGATTTGCTCGAGCGGGCCCAGTAACGTCTCCATTGGAGACTTTGTTGTTACTGTGTCTGGCATATCAAATACTCTCGGTAGCTTGCCGGGCTCTCCGAGAGGGGCGGAGGAATCGAACTCGGGTCAGCCATGTTGGCCGCTTGTAAGGCGAACGCCCTACCCGCTGTGCTATCGCTCCAGCACAGCGGGTAGGGCAAACTATGAAGATTAATTATATCCACTACAAGCTAATTCAGTAATTCTGGACAAATGATCTCAGTTCCATATGCTTGATCTCTCATCATTAAGACAGATACTGTCATGCTCCCATCTCGTACATAAAACACTTGGCCTGGTTCATAGTTCATAAAAAGTGTGTAAAAGTGAGGTATCATTTTTCCTTTCCTATTTTTTCTTGTTTGAGATTAATGCATAAACACATAGGCAAAAACAGTATCAAAGTTGCTATTTTAATTTTTGCAAGCACTTCATCATCTCTCTGCTAGCCACTATGTCATTTCTTTTAAGTCAAGCAGTTTGTCTCCTATATGGAACCAGAAAGTAAAAATGATGGTGCATATTAGAATTTAAAGTAAATAACCAGACCAGTCACAGGATAGTACAAGAAGGATTTTAGGTTTCTTTGGTGAAACAAAAGCATATATAAAAAGTTACAAAGATTTTTGATTTCATTCACAAAAAAAGACAGTCATTCACATTTTACACTATACATGTTATAATATAAATACAGGAATGTATTATGTGCATTGTAATGAAAGAAGGGGAAAAAAAAAGTAAAACCTAAATATTCAACACCCTGTTGCTCTGTGCTCACGGACACCTAATGGTAGATTGCACTAATGCAGCACAACCAAGGGAACTTGCTTAAAGACAGTATATGTGATTGTTGCTACAGTTGCTCCTTCCTACCCAAAGGAGTTTTCATGAAGAAAAAAAATATTGTTGTTGGGTGTGCTTTTTGCTGCTTGCATTTTATTTGTTGTCTTCTTTTCTTAATGTCATTCTGGCTGAAATTGGACAAAGACTACTAAATGTCTTCTTTCCATTACAGATTTTCTTTTAAGCATTCAAAGTAAGTGGATAATGATTCAAGGTTATCATCAGCAGTCACTTTATTCAAATACATGGGAGAAAACAGAGTGGGAAAAGATAAAGAGAATATACATACATACACTCCACCTAACAAGGAAGAAATGTCCACGCTATTTCTAAATATATGCCCCTTGCTTAGAATGGGCAAACACGATTTGCTGAAAACTATATACTTTTCCACTCTTGTAACAAATACTTGATGCAGTTGATCTATCACATCATTCAATCGGGGACAAAATACCTAGATTATAGTTCCAAACTTTGTGAGGGAAATACAAAAACACTGAAAAATAACTACCATACTATGTCAGTTTTCAGGTTGCAGTTGGGGGCATGGTGGGGGGGGGCGAAAATAACATCCAATAAATTAAATCAGTATGGCTTACTTCATTTATTTATGTATGCTTCACAGCTGCAGCATTCATACATGAACATTCAAAACTTTATAAAAGATTAAAATGGTTATATATACAAAATTTCTTTCTTTGTTGTTGTTTCAACAATCCCCCCACCCTCCAGAGCCCTAGGTCTAGATCCATTTGAAAGTGTAGATCTGTAACTTTGTGAGTTAGTGTTAGGAAAACCATTAAAAAGTAGACCTGGTTGAGTTAATAATTAGCACTTTGACCCCTAAAAAAATGCTCCTGGTGATAGAAAAGTCCTCCATTCAGCCTTTCTTGTAAGTGAAGAGAAAGGGTTGCGGCAAAGAAGAGTTCCACATTGCAGTCCCTAATTCCATCAGGATTCCGTTAGCAAGTCTTCAGCAATACACAGAAGCAACCTGCACCAATGGTGAGGATGGCACAGTGACTGGGATACTGCATTTGTTAGTTCCGAGAAAAGCTGTTCTCTGTCTTGCTGATGGTCAAGGAGCAAATGAAACCATTTCCAGCCTAAACACACTACAAAAAGCAGCCGAACCAATGATTAAAGACCGCAAAGGGTCCCATAATCATCATTAAATATGCCTGAACTCAAGGTGACTTCTTATTTTATATACAGGATTAAAATCAACATTAAATCATCTTATTTACATTGACATTGATGCTGAAATTGAGCTTTTTAAATAGTACAGTAGGCTGGTATACATTATAAAATGGTATTGCATTGGAGACAAATAAAAAAACTTCTTAAAAAAAAAGGCTGGAAATGGTTCCTTTCTCCCCTCATTTTCTCTCATTTGTTTGCCTTCTTTTTTTTTTTTTGAATGTCAACACTTTCAGTTAAAATATTTGGAGTGCACAGCAACCCAAAATGGCTGGACAGTGGTCCAAAATCCAAACCAACTGATAATACTTCTCGAGGTGATAAGAAAGGCACAAGAAGTTAGGACTTTGGCTGAAATGATGAAAACACATGTTCGCCATTTTAGGGCTCAGCGCCTGGACTCCTGCCACCTCCGACTCCAACGGTGATCATGTTTTGATGTATTTATTGAATTGTCATTTGCTGATGAGGAGTTTTTAAAGTATTTCTTAGAATAAGTCCTTTGGTATGCAGATGCTACATGGAAGGAAAGAAAGAAAGAAAGAAAACACAACAATATTACTTGCTCCATACCCTAAACTGACGAAGTTGTAAATGAGGGTGTCTAGTAGTCGTTAGAGCACGGTTGTCCATTCTTTCTAAAGTACCACTTACGGTTCATGCAGGTAATTTTAGGCAGAGCCCATCTTCCATTTCCTAAACAACGAATAGTTGGAAGGTGGCGTTGAATGAAACCATCTTTGCAGTGATATCTAATCAGGGAGTTGATTTCATAACGAGGTTTCATCTTTCCAAAAGTCTTGGCATTTTCTACAACGGGGGGCTGGCCGCAAGCAACTAAAGAAAAGCAAATTGAGTTATTTCCAAATAATCTAAATATTTACAATAGTAGCAATATCTTTCTCTCTCTATGATACCCAATAAAGTACCTCTAGAAAAACAATAATTTAGAGTTAGAAATTAAAGATGATATTAAGAGAAGAATCAAATATTTAGGTCCTAGGTCTAGTTTAAATCCCAGATTATGCCATTTAAATTGTGTTTCATTAAAGAAATAAACACAATTTAAATTATGTTTCATTAAATTAAATGGTCAGACATTCTTTTATCCATCTAACAGGGCCACTTTTCTGCAAAAATCCAATTTTAAAAACTATTTAAAAGCAACTACTTCATGTCAGTGCATGACTTGTTGGTGTTGTCTTTCTTTATCATTGTCCCAGAGTATCTACTTATCCCTCATTTTTACTTTTAGCAATAATTGATTTGTAACTAATTTATTATTACTATTGTAAACTCACTGGAAAAGTTATAATAATTATTGAAAATTATTATGCCATAGTTTGTAATATCACATAACCACATATCATAGTTATATAATTTATATATACTATAGTTATGGATAAATATACTGTCTATAATATTGCCACAGTCAAAGGATAAATTATACAATGTATATGATTCATAGATAACTACATCTGGATACCTGGATACATTTTTATTGTAATATGAAAAGACTATACCAAGATACAAATAAAACTGAGTATTAGATGTATTATAGCAATGATAACTGGATTAAAATTAGTTTATGTACTAGACTTGATTATGTGCTATTCTGACAAATTATAAGTTGTCCTTATAACTGTGAGGGGAAATAATATTTATTTTAAAACTATGCATGATATGGACGAATAATTTATGAACAATTCAGTATGTATATTGGTGAATGCAGACAAACGGACCAGGAATAGATCCACACATAAACGCTTATTATTTCACAGAAGCAACATAGAAGAGCAGAGGGAACAAAGTAGCTTTTTCACTTGAAGTAAGGGGTATTCAAATTTTAAAATCTTGACTTGGTTCCTTACCTCAGACAATACATGGAAAACCAGTTAGGATGGTATAAAGGTATATATGTGTGTGTGTGTGTGTATATATATATATATGTGTATATATATATATATATACAGAGAGAGAGCAAAACTGTAAAACACTTTTAAAAGCATAGAATATCTTGATGACTAGAGTAGATGATTAATATTAAAAAAATAGCCATGAAGGAAAAATGAAACAAAATGAACATTTTGCTTACTAAAAGAGTCATAGTTTCATAATAAAAATAGTACAACCTGGGAGAATATATTTAGAACATAATTTAAGTGTCAAGGATTAGTCATCAGTATATAAAAAGAACTTCTACAATTAAAGAAGTAGCACATTTTAAGAAAACAAGCAAAATACAGGAAAAGAAATTTTACAAAATAAGAGTTATAAATAACATGTAAGTATATGAAAAGATAATGGGGTAAAAAGGATGCAGTATAAATGAAATGACAAGTGATAGATAGTATTTCATACCCACCAGATTTGCAAAAATTTCAAAGTCCGATAATACCCAATGTTGGAGAAGATGTAGAGTACAGGATCTCTCACACATTGCTGGTGGGAGTACAAACTGGTACAACCATTTGGAAAATAATTTGGCATTTTCTAGCAATTTTGAAGATAGTATAGACTATGACTCAGCAACTTCACTCCTGGAAAAATACCCTATGAAAACTCAGAAAAGTCTACCAGGAACATATTCCAAAAGATTCATAGAAACATTGTTTATAAAAACAAAAACACTGACTACAGCCCAACTGCCCACAATTAAGAACTGGTGAACAAAGTGTTGTATAGTCATTCAATGAAATGCTATACAACAGCAAAAATCATGACATGCAGCAACATGCATCAACATGGATACACCTCACAAACACAATACTGGACGAAAAGAGCAAGGCACAAAATTCACACAGAATAAAGTTGAAAAATATACAACAGTTTTGTATCAATGCAAGCTTATATAGTAATAATAAAGAAGAATCTAAAGCAATCGAGTCATTATTTCTGGTAGGAACCAGGGAATAAATAATTTAGATGAGATTATAGTTTATGATATATTAAATGTATTTACATAGTATATATTAAGTTGTTTTTTAAAAAACTGTTTTTGTATATACCATTATTTTCATTTACAAATATTCCATAAAAATAAAGCACATAGGTTTCTGTGTCTAAAAATAACTGAAATAAAAGAAGTGAGAATCTTTAATAAAAATCTACAGTCATTTAAAAAATGTATACTGCTCCCCAGAGTACTGATCAAAAAAGAGTTAAGTCTACATAAATAAAAACCAGACAATAGGGAGATGAAACAAAAGATCAATTTGTTTCTTTTTTGTTTTATTTTTCTCCTTTAATGGAATAATTCCAACAATTTAAACTCTTTTCCCAAAGGGAAAAGTCAAGTATGTTAACTGTTTTGTGAATCCCTTTTAGCCATAGAGCAATACATTCTCCACCTGGGGCAGTTTTTCTCCTTTCCTTATCTCCCCAGGGAGCATGTAACAATGTCTAGAAATTATTATGGTTATCACAAAGCAGATGAGGCGGATGAACCCTGGAGAAAGAGGTGGCTTGAATTGGTCCATAGAGGGCAGAGACACTGTTAAACATAATGAATGCATCAGCCAGGCCCCCTCAACAAAGTATTAACTATTATCCTTCTATTGTGAAGACTCTTCTTTAGGAAATAGAACATGGGAAATAAATGAGTGTTTGGATATAAAATGAAAAACATGACTCCCAGGGCTATTTAGAGAGCTAAGACGACAATGACGTGACTTTTTGATAGAGACAAACAGTTCATTAAAGACATTTTACACTAGACACAGGAATTCTAGTGGATTTTGAAAATCCAGTCACAGAATTGTTGAAGTAATGCACATAGTTAGGAAAGCTGCTTATATAGTACGGATATTTAGAATAAATTCTACTCTAGATAAAAGAATTTCAGTGTAAAATTGCCACAGTTAAAAGCAGAGTTTCATCGGAGCTTTGTGTATCTTAAATATTCTATTATTTTAATAGAATTTGTCATTGGTGTTTAATTTTTTTAATCTTTAAATTTTTAATTTTTCTAAAATACTTACAGTGTGTACTTTATATTACTTTTATATTTAAAGACATCTGGTATAAAAATATGAATAGACACCAAATTAATTATTTACATTTTGTCTGTGTACTTTGTACACTTGCTTGAGGCAAAGTAGAGATCTAGAGCTGGGATATTCATGCTTTCACATCACTATCAATTGCAAACACATTTTTTAATGTTTAAGGAGTCTCTGTTTGTGAAAGATGTCAGAACAGTGTGCCTTAAAAATTCAACACATAGATACATATTTTTAAAAATTAGTCTTCTTAATTTTATCTGTTTAATGTTAACTAAGTTAACCTCATTATGGAGTTTATATTCCATAATGGAATTTATGGAACAATAAACGTTTCTATTTGATATCTTGAAGGCATTCATGACAGTCATGGGAATGACTTTTTTGGTCCCATTAGTTCATAAACATACAGTAAACTTTTGAGGGCAAAAAGTAAAAATGCAGGCCTGGAGCGACAGCACAGAGGGTAGGGCATTTGCCTTGCACACGGTCAAGCCAGTTTCGATTCCCAGCATCCCATATGGTCCCTGGAGCACCCCCAGAAGTGATTCCTGAGTGCATGAGACAGGAGTAACTCCTGTGCATCTCCCGGTGTGACCCAAAAAGCAAAAGCAAAAAAAAAAAAAAAAAGTAAAAATGCCCACGGAGACCAGGCTGTTAAATACAAAGGAAAATGTGAAAGTCCATGGTGACCTGAAGCTCACAGCCCCCAGGAGAGAAAGCAGTGGTTTTCAAGCCTAAACACTTCAAATCGTGGACAAGTATCAATATGAGCCAAAGGGTACATGCTTTTCTTAATTTTTTCATTGAAACTAGATTATTTTGTAATGTAGGTCAAATTTTAAATATTGACAAGTGATTTAACACTCATCAAAATAAATATGGCTCTTGGCATGGCAACTGTTTTACTCTTAAAATTCTACTAGGGAGTTTTACTACAAAATGTTACTCTGTTAACTCAAGTACCTGAAATCTAAGGTGAAATACATTACTGAAAACATTTTTTTCTCTTGTATCTGAACAATGAAATACTTCATAGCAAAGAGGGTAAGAAGTTTGTGATTTAATGAATGAAGCTTAATCTTTCTGAACTCACTTTACTCACTTTACAGTTTAAATGCTAGTTAACTACATTACCTGTTCCTTTCTTGCAGGTATAGGTGAGATGGTAATTGCAGGGGACGTCATTCCACTGGCCATTCTCATGCCAAATGATGACCACACAGTCTTCTCCAGCAGAAAAGAAGCTATCTGGCTGGTTGGGTCTCCAGTTCTCATATTGCTATGAAAGTGGATGAAAAATACACTTATTTACTTGATAGTAGTGAATAACACAATACATAAGGTAATGGCATCTGAAATAGAATAGCTTCAACGATTTCTGTTGATGAACTAATCTGAAATGCTTTTGGTGGTAAAACGATTTTACATCTTGATGTTGAGATCCAAAGAAAAAACAACGAATTAGCTCATGTTTATGCTGCTAGTTAAAGGTAGCAAGATTCCCTCCTCAGTTTCAAATACAGAAATTTTATAGATGAGAAAAATATAAAATACTCTTACACTCTGAGAAGACAAATACACATATGTCAAAGTCTGTTTTGGAGCCAAAGAGACACTGAGTTCGATCCCTGACAGCATATATGGTTCCCCAAACTCTACCAGAAATGATTCCTGAGCACAAAACCAGAAGAAAAATCTCAATATCACAAGGTGTGGCCCTAAACCCCCCCCAAAAAAAATCTCTTTAATGTGTCTTTTAATCTTTGGCAGTGAGCTATATCTAAGGAATTGTATTCTGCATAGCTACATTTCTGAATATAGTAATCTAAAAAAACTTAAAGGTAAAGGTAAAGGCCCTCCCGTTGATCGTCGATTTGCTCGAGCGGGCCCAGTAACGTCTCCATTGGAGACTTTGTTGTTACTGTGTCTGGCATATCCAATACTCTCGGTAGCTTGCCAGGCTCTCCGAGAGGGGCGGAGGAATCGAACTCGGGTCGGCCATGTTGGCCGCTTGTAAGGCGAACACCCTACCCGCTGTGCTATCGCTCCAGCTCCTAAAAATCTTATTAATATAAGTTTATATAACTTATTAATATAAGTTATTAATATAATAAGTTTATATAACTTATTAATATAAGTCTTTACCTAAAAATCTTATTAATATAAATTTTACCACCACTAATGGCAGTGAAAATGGGAAAACAATACATAAACTTATCATTCCGTTATGATTTCCCATTATCTTTTATTTATGCAAATATAATTTAATTTAGTTATAGTGAAATAAAGTTTTTCTTTTTCATATTTATCAAAACAATCCATCTTTCTTTGTCTTATTTAAAGTATTTTTATCAAATTTATTTATTTTGTTAAAAAAGTGAAGTTTTTTTCCAAGTTAACCCCAAACACTTTCACCTTTCACTTTTTATTCAACTTTTCTAGATTTTAAATGTGATTCTTATATGCCCCACTGTTGAGTTATCATCTATCCTGGAAGTTGTTTTCTCTTAATATGAGCATTATAATCACTGATATAAATGAAACTTTTAAAATACACTTTACTACAAATATACATATATATTTGCTTTTTTAAAATAATTTTGAGACAATTTTAAAATTTTTTCTTGAATAAATATTTTGTATTGATTATTTATTTGTATCTTTAGATGTTATCTATTGTTTCCAACTCTGAGAAATGATCATATAATGAGAAACATCTTTTGTCTTCAATCAGAAAAAAAACATTTAACACCTGTTATGGATGAACTTCTCTCCCAGGTAGTAGCGCTGTAGCACTGTCCTCTCATTGTTCATCAATTTGCTCAAGTGGGCACCAGTAGCATCTCTATTTTGAGACTTGTTGTTTCTGTTTTTGGCATATCGAATATGCCACGGGGAGCTTGTCAGGCTCTGCCATGTAGGTGGGATACTCTCATCAGCTTGCCGGGCTCTCTGAGAGGGAACCCGGGTCGGCCACGTGAAAGCAGCTCATCAGTCTCAGGTACTTGGTAAGTACAATAACTTGGGAAGAATATAAACAATTTTGACCTTAAAGAACGCACCCAGAGCTCTGGTCTCTGTTCAGTGTCTCATTAGCTTAAAACTGACAACCAGGGGTCATATAGCACAGAGAAAGTGTAGCGTGCTTCAATCCCTGATACCTCATGTGGTCCCTTGATGACAGAGCTAGTAGTAAACCCTGATTACAGCTGGGTATGATTCAAAAACCAAAATATAAGTAAATGAAAAAATAAAATTTCCATCAAGGGGACTAATACAACAGGCATTAAGGTGCTTCTGGCAAATCACAGGTTAAACAAGAATCACATACATGACCAACTGGAAGTATATAAAAACAATAGGAAAAACATTGGAAATAAAATGTCTCAAAAGTTCCTGCTCTTGGACTTCATTATTCTACCAGAATTCTTTACTAAAATATAATCTGAGTGAGAAACAATATTGTATTTAAAATACTAACAGTAAATGAAAAGCAACCTGTGAAGAAAATGCATTAAATTATTATGAGAAAGATAGCTTTAAGAGTATAGCACTGTAGTACTATTCTCCCATTGTTCATTAAGTTGCTCGAACAGGCACCAGTAACATCTCCATTGTGAGACTTGTTACTGTTTTTGGCGTATCGAATACAACACGGGGAGCTTGCCAGGCTCTGCTGTGAAGGCGGGATACTCTCGCTAACTTGCTGGGCTCTCCGAGAGGGATGGAGCGGAGGAATCAAACCCGGGTCAGCAGCGGGTCAGTCGCATGCAAGACAAACGCCCTACCCTCTTTGTTATAGCTCCAACCCTTTAAGAGTATAGGATATGGAAAATTGTAAAAGCAGTATTAAGTTAAAACTATAAAGCAAAATGCTAAAATGATACAATGGTCAAAATATTTTTTCCCCTTTATTTTATTTTATTTTTTTTAAAGTTGTAGATTTACAATTTTTTGTGCTTTGGTTTCAATTATACAATGATCAGATACCCATCCCTCCACCAGTGCCCATTTTCCACCACCATGGATAATATCCCTCCCACCCCCATCCCCCCATCCCCCCTGTCTCTGTGGCAGGGCAATCCCCTGTGTTCTCTCTCTCCGTTTGGGTGTTGTGGTCTGCAAAAGAGGCATTGAGTGGCAAACATGTTCAGTCTATAGTCTACTTTCGACATGCATCTCCCCTCCTGGAAGGATCCTCCAAACATCCTTTATTTGGTGCTCCCTTCTCTATCTGAACTGCCCTTTCCTCTAGGATACCCGCTGGCCTCTAAGTTATGGAGTAATCGTCCTGGTGCTGATCTCAGCTATTCTTGGGTATTAATCTCATACTTTGTTACTTTATATCCCCCAGATGAATGCAATCTTTCTATGTCTATCCCTCTCTTTCTGACTCATTTCGCTTAGCATGATACTTTCCATATTGTACCACTTGTATGTAAATTTCATGACTTCATCTTTTCTAAGAGCTACATAGTACTCCACAATGGTCAAAATTTTACACATATTCTCAGTGCAACTGTACTTATATGAATGTCTGCCTGTGTATATAAAAGTCCAAAAGAAAAGCAAAACATTATGAAGCTTATACTTCAGTAAAACGAGATCCAGAGAACATTTTTTCCTATATATTCTTTTTTCCTATATATTCTTATGTATTTTATAAATTTCCTAGAGTGAGTATGAACCATTCTTTGAATCGGTAAAATGAAAATTCAGAGATGACCTATACAACTATTAGAAAGGACTTACAAATTTCTTAGCCTGCCATTTTTTAAAACTCTAACTTCCATAAATATCACTTTCCCAATTCACTTGACTACCCTCTGCTTTGCATCCTGATCTGAATAATAATGTTCCATTTTTACACTGACACGAGAGTCAGATTCCATGTCATAGAAGTAATTCCTGGTGCTTAAAAGGCCCAGCCTCATACCTCTGGCAGAAGATTTCACTGCTTTTGGTGGAAATTACATTTGGCTTGCATCAGTGATTTAAAACGTGTGTTCTGTGTTGTTGCTTGGCAGCACTGTGGCTTAATGGTGCAGGACCAAACTCTAGGACTGTGGTTTTTACAAGAATGTCAAATACCCACAGGCATGTCACACTATTACCTCATATCTGATAGCTCCATTGTGAGGATTTATTTTGGCAAGGGTGCTTTGATTTTGCTCCATGTTATTGCCAAACTGACTTAGCAAAGGAAACCCCAGCTTTCTGAACAACTTTCTTTGTTTCCTCCGAAATTCTTTACAGTCTTACTTAACATCACTTGCTGGGAGAAAGAGTATAAAAATAAACCTTCAGCTTTGGATTTAGCAATATATATTTTCACTGAAGTACACTGTTAAGAAGAAATCTTAGCTCAAGAAACGTCAGAATATAACAAAGTCTCTCACATAGCCAGAAATATGGGATACTAAATGAACAGGAAAAAAAAAAACTCCTCCATTCTCTTTGGGATTACAAGCAAACATTCTGGGTAATTTTATCCTAGATGAATCATTTTATAGAGGTAGATGAACAAACTAAAATTTTTTTTCGAAAGAAACATCATGGTTTTGGGAGAATATATTTTAATGCCATTGGCAAAAGCAAATGCTGTCCCTGCCTTTTAATGTTTATCGGGCCTCAGAATCTAACTTTTCCCATCCCAAACCCCCACTCCCACCCCCACTTTTGTTGCTTCCTCCAGAGTCAAAGATTAGATCACTCTTTTGCCTGGAAGGAAAATCCTAAATTACTTTTATGTTTTTATTTCTTCTGATAGCAAAGTGTGACATGAAACTCAATTATTTGATGTAGGAAAAAAAGCAAACTCAGATATAACTTCTATTTTATTGAGTGTAATATTGTGACTGATAAGAAACTGGTTCCATACAATAGATGATAATGTTATAATATGTTAGAATCAGATCAAATACCCATTGTTCTGCCTTTTTTTTTTAATTTAGTGGGGACAGAGAAATAGTACAATGGGAAGGGATCTTGCACACAGTCAACCTGGTTTTGATCTCTGGAATCACATATGGTTGCCTGAGCATCGCCAGAAATAGTCCCTGAGCACAGCCGGGTGTGGCCCCCAAATAAAATAAAAACAAAGTGAATAAACAGACACCTGTATCAATTAAATTGGATTTAGTAACTTTTCAGCATTTGTTTTCTAGCTTTTTCCCCCCAGTTGGATTCAAACCAGTCAATAGCCAAAAGCATAACATTATATTTTAAAACTCTGTCCAAATTCCAGCAGTTAAGTCCATGAAACTCATCTCCACAAGC